GCCGTCATCCCGCCCATCCCTGTATGGCTTGCGAGCACCGCGCGAGGGGGAGGAGGGGGGTCCGCCGCGGCGGTTTCACCCCGCGATGATCGCACAAGGGGGCCGGCGGCGGCGCTCGTGATGAGGGGCCGATCGCGGCCCGCCGCGGAGGACGCGGGGAAGGCTCCAAACGGGCCCTCGCTCAGTGGGGGGAGGTACGCCTGGTCCTTCTTAAGGTTCTTCCGTCGCAGGTTGGAAAAGGTCATGTTTTAGGTTTTTCTTGGTGTATGTGTGTGTATAATTGATCTACCTAATATATATATGTATACCTTTTCTGCATATGTTTTGTATTTTGACAAATATACAAAATGTTTTTCCACATGGTTACTTGTTTCCCTTGCATCGCAACACTACAGCTGTTAAAAGTATTTATGCGTTGACGTCGTTAGACACCCGCTCCCAGTGGATTCTATTCAGGCTAGATTTAGTGTCGTGCTTATGCTAAGCCATACTGCCTTCAATGGGTTGAACTCTATTTTCTGTACTATGCTAATCATTGAACATCTATCGCAGCAATAAAGATGCTGCAGGAGACGGCGGGACTCTCCCGGTGATTCTGGAATAAGCAGATTGATCATCCACTACAACATATTCTTGTTTGAAGTTGCAATTGGTTTAATATGTGGAGGTTCTTCTTGCGATCAGTTCATTTGACTGCACCTTTTATTTGCGATTGATTTAGCATAAAAGCAAATATGCAAATAGCGCCGCGGCTAGTGAATGAGGAGCATAACAACCACCTTCAAAGTATTTGCCTTTGTGTGTTTATATTCCCCTTTGAAACCCCTTCCACTGAACAGGTGATACAAATCAAAAAGATCAGACAGAATGAAGAAGAATGAGTGAATCAATGCAATTGCGTTATCATTATTACTATCTATTCGCAATGGAAGGAATGTAATAGCAGAGTTTACGCAGAGAATTTTGACAAAAAAAAGCTAATCTATCCAAGTGAATGTGCAAGGGGCTTAACAACCAGCAACAAAGTGAAAAAAGGAGAACCCCTTACATTCGAACAAGTCAAGCAACACTCTCGTCGAATGCACCCCCATCAATGTGCCCTTGGTGGCGCCAACTCAGGGATGATTCGCCGTGCTTCGTCTCCGATGCCATCTTGTCGACTCGTTAGCGATAGCACCTGCATGGCGCACTGCCCAAGCTTCAACACACTCTCACTATTACTACTCGGAGGGTCGTTCGACCCGCCGCCGCCGAGCACGCGAGCCCGCCGCTGCGCTTCCTCCAGGCGTGCGCGAAATTTTGTATTCACGCTGCGCAGGGTTCGCAGCCCCATCACGGCCAATGAATCATCCGGAGATTGTAATGCGTACTGGAGCACCACCAGCAACTCCGCGACGGAGTCCACCGTCAGCTTCTCTTTCATTCGCTGCTGTTGCATCGTGATGAGAAAATCATGCGCAACGCCGCCCTCCGTGCCCTCCTCGCAGAGCTGCCGGAGGTGTTGGAGGGCGGCGTGGGGATCTTGCTGCCAAAGCGACCGAATCACACCCAAATGAGTCGCCCGCCGTCGCAGCATGCTGCTCGTATCGACGCCGTTGTCGAGGAGCTGATCGACCACCTCCATCTCGGATCCATTGCAATCGAGGGCAAGGGGGCGCGGCAGTTCCAACAAGGGGCCGGGTAACACAGGCAAATCGGGAGGGGAGAGTGCCACCCCAGGCTTTTCGACTACGTGATTCACTGATTGCTTTTTTGCCCTCACTGTTATGGCGCACGGTGCGGGACTGGCTTCGTTCAACGGCCTTGGTATAATCTCCTTTACCGCGGTTGGCTGTGGCCTCGAAACTGGGTTCGGCTTGGGGACCGGCTCCGCTACCCAGTTGCCTCCTATGGGAAAGCGCCCTGTCAGCGTGGTAGATCCGTTCGCTTCAACGAACCAAACCTCATCTGAAAAGGAAGCGTGCGCTATATCGACAAAGGCCCCCCACGGCGCGTCTTTGTTCTTCATGATCGCATCCGACGAGTTCCGTGTATCCCAGATATGAAGCTGATGCTCGGTGGCCGCCAAAAGGTGGGTGCCGCCAAACCGCACGCAGTCCACTCGCGTCTTCGCGTTGTTGCTTTGGAATAGAACTTTGAACGTTTCGAGGTTCCACAGCGCCACCGTACCGTCTTCGCAGCCAACCAGCATCAAATACATCTCAGGATGAAAGTGAAGAGTGGTGATAGCGCCCCCACGTAGCTCTAGGAAGGCCTCTAGACTGGCCGTACCCAGGTTGTATAGTCTTACAACTCCATTCGCGCAGCCGGTGGCAACCCACTTTACATTGGGAGAGAACTGCACTTTGTGAAGCGCCACTTTGGCATCGTTGTGCAACTGCACGCGGACGTTTTTACGAATATCCCAAATCCGTAAAATGGCGTCCGTAGAGACGCTAGCTGTGAGGTAATCACACGTATGCATCTCGACATCGGTGATCATCGATCGATGGCCCTTAAAAGTGCGGGTGACCTGCTCTGTGGCTAAGTTCCACATGAGTAATCCACCGGCGCTACTGCCGCCTACCATGGAGCTTTGGTTTGAACTAAACCCCAACGAGGTCACCGGAGCTGAGAGCCCTTCAAGGCGGGCCTGAGGCGAAGTGCCTGTAAACGGGTAGACGTAGAGAGCGCCATCACGTCCACCGTACCCCACTAATTGCTTTGTTCGATTAGGACTTAGCCGGGAAGCAACAACATCACACGGGAGCTGACAGGTGTGGGTCGCCGCATACATCGTCTTCGCTACTGATAATAATAATAGTAATAATAAAGAAAACCAAAGTGTGGCTTACTATTAAGTGAACCTCCCTCTCTGCTATGATACCCCTCAAAAAACACGAAGGCAAAGAAAGACTCAATGATCTACAAATAAGAGAAAGGGTAGAGGTGCAGCACAGTGAAGAAGGAGACACTAAGGCAAGAGAAATTTGTGCCTTGATTTGTATAGCAAGTGGAAGAAAGGATCATGTAAGGGAAAAGGGAAGGAAATGAATAAAGAAGCCTATGAAGCGTGACGCTTGTTAACATTAGTGTTGTTTTCACAACGTAAGTGAACCAAAGATTTGTTTTCTTCGCGATCGTCATTCAAACGGCTCTTCTCTAGATTATCACTCTCATCATGAAGTAAAAGCATTGCAAGCCGTGAGAGGAAAAGAAGGGAAATAGTGGTGATAAAACGTGCAAAATGGATGAATCCATCAACAGGTGAAATAGTCGCCTACATTTTGCGGCATCACCTTCAAGTAGTTTCTAGACTCTGCCTCACTCTCACCGCCGTGTAAATATTCGTAGCATATGGTGCAGTACAATGCAGGGTTTTCCATTGAGAGCTCGTCCCCGTAAAGCGCGATAGAGGAGGGAAATTGATGACACATCTGGCATCGCAGTACACGATCCCTCCTCCTCCTCGTACGATGCGGAAACTGCTCGCGTTGCGTTCGGGGGCAGCCGCGGAGGCAGCGAGGGCCTTGCAAGTAGAAATAATGCGTGCAGCAACCGGCGTGGCGGAGAACGCATGTTTCACCCTGTTTCACACGCAACTCTCCAAAAGTCACCTCGGCCGCACTCCGAACAGGGCAGCGTTGAAAGGCGGCGTTTGCACCGCGGCAAGGGGCCGGTGGTTCGCCGTGAGGGGGAGCGGAGGGCACGCAACCCCTAATGACAGCACTCAAATCCTCAAAGCCCGGCTCATTTCGGTGCCGGTCGTCGATGTAGAATGTTTCCCCGATAAATAAAAAGGCGTTCTTGGAGAGAGAGAAGGGTAACCTTGGGGTGCAGGTGATTGCATCAAGCAGGGCTGTGAGCTTTTGGCAGGAGAGCACCGCCCAGGCCTCCCATTCCTCCATGGATCCTGGCGCCAAGATCATGAACTCCCACCGATGCGTGTGCTCCATGCAGAAGTCTTCATCGGTGTCCGCTTTCGTCTGGATCGAATGATCGGTGATATTGTCTTCTGAAACCAGGCGCTGAGAGGAGGACCACAAAAGTGCGTATTTGGGATCGTAGCTGGCGAGAGGAATGTTCGATGCACTAAATTCTTTTTCTACCTCGACCTCTTTTGCTTTGACTCGTTCAACGTCAACAAGATATTGTAGGAGTTGGTCTTTATTTCCAAGCGTTTCGTAAGCCTTTTGAATTTTCGGCAGCTGCCGCTCCACCTCACTCTCTACAACCTGAAGGACTTGTTCATTTTTTGACAGGACTTTCCGCACAACCGGCTGCGGTAGCGGTCCCACGTCCCGCTCCCATTCGCTAGCCAGACAAAACATCCTATCCTCACAAGCTTTTAATTGCCTTTCTGCGTCTCGTAGGATAAAAAAAGGTCCTGAGGCGTCGCCGCGCTGATCGAGCATCACAGGCAGCCGTACAACCGTACCGACGGGAAGGATCTCGTCTGCGGGAACGTCCTTGAGATTACTATTTACAGCGCGGAGATCGGCTAGCGGAACTCGAATATCTTCGAATGCGATGCGCATGAGCGTGGCGCTGCCCTCCTCAACATCCCGTCGAGTCACGACATATGTAAACGGATCGAGAGAGTAATGGGGAACACCTCCCTGATTTGACATGAAAAATTAGAATGATGCCTTGTACAATATGCTCTATATTTTGTCTAATTCGCGACCCCGTTGCAACACGTCTCTCTTTCTTCTCCTTCACGAGTTCCGTTCTATCTTCAAAAAAAAAAAATGAAGTTAGTATAAATGCAGAGTCGTAAGCCTATCGGAAACGCACGCAGTTCTGGTATAATTGAACACAGGGGCTATCTAACAAAGTATTAATAATAGAAAATAACAAAAACCCAAATCAGTTGGGTCTTCTATTTTATCTAAATATAAACTGTGTTATACATATTGTGAGTTTAGTGAATTTTATAGAATAAAAAAAGGGGACATGAAAAAGGTATGCATATGGATATATATATATATATCCAGGATTGTATATTACCTTTTCATTGCGGTTATTTTCATTACCCCTAGTTGCTTCCAAACCAAGCAAAACATAGAGTAGCAAGAATAGTAGGAGCAATCATACACCACCACACATAAATTAGCCCTAAATATTCATTGCTAGATTTTCGCTTCGAGCGAGAATCATCATATTCCTCCCTCCCTAACAGGGCGCACAACTTCCATTTTCTCCTTCCTTTATTGATTACTCTTAAGACAAGGGCCTCAACCGATATGAAAAAGAACGCTCCAAAAGGCAGCATCTTGACACATCATGAAGCAAATTTTGAAGGCTATATGGGCTGTTCGGAATTTGCTTCATGAGGCATTCACCCTGTTCGCTTTTTTTTTAGTGATTGACAGCGGAAAGGAGATGAGGGAAAATTGTTATCTGATACATGTCCAAAGCAGAATCGAAGTATATAACGTTTGCTTTTTGAAAAAAACAGAAAAAATATGGAAGGAAACCCACACCATTTCTCCAATTAGTATATTTAGACGAGGGAGCAAAAAGGCATTAGCGTACTTTTTGTCCCCATGCTTCAGGCTCTGTGCAGCACTTCCTCCTCATTGATTCGCGGAAGGACCACCTGGAAGTAAAAGTCCACTAGCTGATGTCGGAAGCTAACGTTGTCTAAAATATACATTCGCCCGTTCTTCCGAAGTTTCTTGACAGCAGCAACCGGGCTAATCTGCAGCATCTCCATAAGAAAGGTGCAGCATAGGGTCACACTTCTATTGATACCGCCGATACAATGCACGAAGACCTTTTCTTGCTTCTGAAGGATGTTCATCAGCAACTTCGCAAAGGGTTCGTAGTCATGATGCAAAATGAAGTAATCTGCTGTATCATAACATTCTAAATTGTGAGCATGAAACTCCTCCGCAATGAGGGGATCGGTCAGGTATTCCTGCGCACAGCAGTTAATGATGTGCTTTACGCCCTCCTTTCGGAGGATCTGAAGCGCCTCGTTATCAGGGAGACCCCCGATAAATAGCTGATTGTCCAACACCGACGTCACGGGCGGGTGCGGCCTCATTCGATGCGCAGTGTTCGTCGCATCGAGCTCAGCGTCCAGGAGGTTCCGCATCCCTAGCACCGCGGGGTCGATCTGTGGGGTGTACAGCAGCGAGGG